AAAAAAAAAAAAACCCGAGGCGTTTGAAGGCTATTCTCATGCTATTCTATCCGGTTTCACATAGGCCACTAAAAAACACAGCTCACCCTGCTGTTCTGAAATCATAAATCAGTCCAAAATCGAGCCCATTTTGGTGAGCCAAAGTAATGAGGGATGAGAACAGCTGGAAAGCTGAGATTTTAGAAGAACATCCCCGCCCAAATAAAACTTAAGGGTTTCAAATTCAGCCTTCAGGTACGCGTGATTCTCATTTACGGGCACTTAAATTTTTGGCGGGAAAATTTATCATTGTGCAGCTAGATCTTTTCAAAAAGCGACCGCGAAACGAAAATTTATTTTCGTTTATGCAAAATTTATGATGATTTACGGCATTGAGCGCACAAGATAGGCGCGAAGAAACAACCATTCATGCAGTTACCCTAATTACTTCAAGCTTGGCACGATCGCACCAGATCGTCTGGTGCGCTCCAGTTGGGTTACACCGGGTGACTACAGATCAAAGGGGTGGCATAACTCTAAAGGCAATAGGGTTCAAAGGCTAGATAGAGGATCAAGGGTGTTGTATCATAATGACGCAATCGCTTTTTACGAAATTTTAGCAAAATGTAATAAATCATAATATGAAAATGCGTTTTTATTTGAAAACATCACTGACGCAAAAACATACGAAAATACGAAAGAGTTCTAAAAATTTCCGTGAAACTACTACTGAGAGGAAAAGCATGCATTGAAGTCTCAGTGAAAATAAGAGGTGACGGGAGCAGACAACCACTGTCAAGGCCGATGGCCTTTCTCAGAAATACTGAGAAATAAAGAACCCAAGCCAGTCAGTACAAATTCTGCACCGATATAACAAACTGGTACATAGCAGAAAGGAGCAGTTCTGCCACACGGATCTAAACATCAGACTTTCACTCTGCATTGCTGACAGATTATTGAAGTGAAACTTTGGAGGCCACTGAGATGAGAAATATTTACTCGAAAGCTGTCACTTCCTATGTACAGTACTTGATTTTTAGAAAAATACTAAGGCTATCCGTCTATCCCATTTCAATGATGCTTACATATGTCAAGCACAGCCATTTCATGCCCAGTGGCCCTAAGCTGAACATCTTCAGTTAGTATTTACCACTCAACGTATGCGAGCCTTCTTCGGAAGCCGGGCCACTGGTAAATTGATTTCTTGCTCATACCACTCACTAATACTTCCAACAAAAAGAGCTACCAAGAGCCACATGAATTTATAAATGCTTTTTAAAACTTATATTTCTCATAACTGCAGCGCCCCATCGCAGGCAATGAAGAGTGAAGATTTCTTTTCTTGCTCCATGCCACAGCAAAACACATGCACTCCACTACCAATGCGCCCTCTCGGTTATCAACTTACTTGCATGAGATTGTTGAAAATTCGGCATTTGGCCCAGCTGAAAACCGGGGCTCGCAATGTCCATTAGACCTTGATTGTTAACAAATGCCATTGGCCTAGGCTGCTCCGGTGACACCTTGTTCGTTGCTGCAGTACCGCTGAAGATGTTACGACTAGTACTTGGCCCGACGTCAATTGGCTGATGTTGAAACTGGGCGTTGAGCTGTGCTAAGATCAGCTGCTGCTGAAGATTTTGTAGTGCTAACACGCCAGCATTCTGAAACGGTCACAATTTCACTATGAATACAAAGCATATGAACTGTATCAAAAAGAGATTCACTATATCAAATAAACTGCAGTGCGCGCCAGAGTAATCGGTGCAACCATGCGCTTTGTACAGTTCCGTTTAGCGGATGTTTACCTGCTAAATATATTCACCGTTTTACACTTTGGTATGCACAAAAAATAACTGATATGGCTCCTAAACTGCAAGATTTCCTGCTAAAAACTTCATGTACCGAAACGTGGGACGAAAGCTCACGTAAAAAATGGACGGGAAATATTATTCCAGAATTCAAACTGCTAGTTTTCTGGCTTCCGAAATAGTGTTTCTCGCGCCAAAACCCTCATTTAGTCATTCGATACACTTGGGGGCTAAGTTTGAGTTTTTGGGATTTCTGCGTATGCACAAAATACCTTCCTGAAATTTCTGCCTCTCTCATCTGGTTCCCGAGATAATTTTTCCCACTAAAATTTTCGTAGGTATGTACAAGAGACCCAAGTGCATGTAAAAGTTGAATTTGAATCTGCGAAGTCGCATGTGGGCAAAAGACATCCCCCCAAAATTTCAGCTTTCTATCTTTTGTTGGTTCCGAGACAGTGATTTTTTCCGCCCGACACTTTCACGAGGCCATATGTGGTAGTCAAGCATACGGAAAGGCAGAATTTCAATTTGCACGGTCTTGCAGTCGGCAAGGAAGATTATCTTAAAATTTTGGCTCCCTAGCTTACCTAGTTCCCGGAGCAGTAATTTCCCTGCCAAAACTTTCACACACTAGCTGATTCACTAGGGTCCTTTTGACCCCCCCCCCCCCCCCCCCCCCC